TATTTTCTAAAGCGACGTACCCTATACGTCACTGTGACTGTTGAGCAATGTAGTGCCCATGCACTACACACAGTCCCTAGTTCGTGATCTTGTCACACGAACGCAGTTTCGTGGGCAGGCACTAACTAAACCTAAAATATGAGTAAAGCAACTCAGGAAAAGCCAAAATGTTCTACTAAAGATAACCATAACGATTGAACATGTGTATTGTTACTTCTCCACGGGCAGCACGTCGCCGCTTGTGGGTTCCTCCAGCCCCAAGAGGTACCGCAAAGGCCTTGCTATTAGTACTAGCCAGCGGCTGTTTCTCACTTGCATGTGTTATTAAGCTCGTTTCTATCTTGACGAAATTGCAACGCCATTTTCAGCTGTAAGCCACGGCATTAGGGACTGACCGCCCTTTCAGACCCTGGCTTCGAACGCCCTAATCGCCTCGCTGTTTAGAGAGGTGTGTATTCAGGAGTTATATTTGCAGTGTCCTGTGGCGGGGTGAGCATGAGAGGTTTAAGGATTTAATGGCTCCTTTCTGTGGGGTTTGAAGGAGTAGCACCAACAGCAGCAACAAGAGCCGGCGTTAAACAATGTGGGAGCAAAGGGCACCGAGGGCGGAAGTGAAGCGAGCAGATCGCCTCCAGGGCCGCAAAGTTGTCGTTTTGCTCGAAGATGCGTAAGTAAATCTGGAGAAGTCAGCATATCCAGCGAAGCTTCGGGCAATGGTACCCTACAGCCTCACGTACTCGCATGCAACGTCTTCATTGTCTGGTTTCAACGCTCTGCTGCAGTGTCCTGGAGCTTGCTAAGGGACGCCAAGGTTCGCTTCAACTCCTTGAGGGCCTCCAACACCGCAGGCTCCTGCAGCAAGAAGACAGAGACAGCACAGTGAGTTAGCACGCAATAGCCTGGAGGCACCCGCTTGGCATGCATACCGCGGCGACAGTAGCAACAGAAGAAACAGCAGTGTATTTAGTAAGCATATTCACACCATGATATTTTTTGTTACAATTTCGTAAAGGGTAGTTGGCGTCCACCTTCAGTGGTTCCCTCATTTGGGGCTCACTAGATGGTACGGTGTTTTGTTCAGGATGTGCGCCCTGATATAGTTCACCACTGCCTGCTGACCTTGCAAGAGTCCCCTCTAAACAAAGTAGGCTGCATCCTGTAGTGAGCGGTGCCGGAGTTCAGCCTTTGCATTTGTTATCCCTTACTTCTGTAGCCTCGACATCTTAACTGACGAATGAATATTTCGGGCGTAGGCACAACGGATGTGCTGTGAAGTGAGTCGCTGTGACTGCTGTTCTTGAATTTCAGGCCGGTCGTTTGTGCGTCTTCATCAGAACACGTGACAGGCAACTGATTGAGGTTCATCCACAACTCCGAGTTCCGTNCGTTTGTGCGTCTTCATCAGAACACGTGACAGGCAACTGATTGAGGTTCATCCACAACTCCGAGTTCCGTCTACTTACGAAGAATTCAGAAAGCTCATGGGTGAGGCTAAGAAGCCGCTGCGCCCTTCAAGCTGTATGCCGTTAAGTCAATATGGTTCTCTGCGCAGTGCAGGCACATAATTTACTGTTTATTAGCATTTTAACGGCTGGCGTAAGCTGAAATTTTGGACTTCTCTTTGTTGGTGGGAGGGAGTGCCGGATACGGGTGCATGCATATTTGTTCACGGGTGGATGTGGGGCGTGCATGCACTTCAGTGAATCTTTTACACACCCGTCGGATTCGGGCGGTGGAGAGGAATGTCACCCTTTTGCAGGTGAGTGACGCGGCTAGCTGACCAATTTCGCCTTCCGTGTCGGCCGTCGCTCCACCTTACTGCTTACGCAGGGAGCTAAATCAGTGAAGTACCAGAGGAGAACCCTCTGAGCGTTTCGTGGGCTGTGTCTTGTTAGCGCAGGTAACGAAGAATGATCCGAACCTCTTCCTGCCCGTCGGCTCACGAAAGATCGGTGAGCCGTCTGGCGCCCCCTACACACAAACTGAATACGGCGACGCTGATTTTGAAGCAACCTATGAATATTATAGCCCACAGAAGGGCTTCTGTTGTAAAATGCATAGCAGATATCTTGCCTACCATGGTGCTTCGTTTGCGGGCCAGTCGGAAGCTGCCTGCATAAACACTGTGGCAGGTGTGCGGTGGTTAGACATAGAGGCAGACAGGTATTGAGAGGGGGACTGACGGCATTTGCTTCTTCTGTCGTTACTTTGTACCTTTACAGCATTTTCTTCTAAAGGCCGACCTGTAGACCTCGAAGACTTTGTGCAGCAATTTCAGCACACGGAAAGCCCTGTGTTGTTTCTCGTAGGCGCGGTGGCCCATGCCAATCCCAGTGCGTAGTCAAAGCCCCTCCTCTTGCTCTTTCGTCTCTGCTGTTCATCTGCATTTCAGTGCTCCTTTTTCTCTGTTCTTCTNAGCCCCTCCTCTTGCTCTTTCGTCTCTGCTGTTCATCTGCATTTCAGTGCTCCTTTTTCTCTGTTCTTCTTCTGAATTTCATATGCTTTGAGTGCTGTCATCGTGCACAGAACAGTTGCTGTTGTCTCTTTTGCTTGTTGCTGCGCGCAGCCGCCAATAGCGAACTCGCCGAAGAATGCATTTCTATTGCTCCTTGCGGATTAAGTGCAGCGGTGAGAACAGCACTGCCTGCAGAGAAGCTGAGCAATACCTTGAAGCCTAAGGAAGGCAAAATGCCTTCTGCTGCCAGTGGCCATATGCACTATTTTCTGCGCACATGGTGTTCAAGGGTTTAGGTTTAGGGTTTGGGGAATAGGCCGAACTGGGAATTGTCCCGTCCAGTGTTGTAACTGTGGGATTGGAATGCTAGTGTGGTGCGTCGCGCAGGTTTGCTGCAGCAGCCTCTGTGCAGAGTTCGAGAACCTGTGGAACATCTACTGAAAACCTCACTACCCAGCAGCTCCCCCTAAGTAGCCCCTTTCACCAGTACAGCTATGCAGTGAATTAGGAGCATGCAGAGATGTCTCTTTTCACATAATTTTTAGCTTGCTCTTGCTGTTTTTTTTCGTGGACTTCGTTTTCATTGTTTATCCTCCGCAACTAAACTCTAAACCCAACTCTAAAATCTCTCGAACTCTCATATATCGCAAGGAGTTGACACTGAGTCGTACAGCTCTTCTTGTAGGACACGGGGGTGTTCAGACACTGAAACATTAGGGGTGTCTTTTAGCGGTCTGTAAATCCGGCTGCACGANGGACACGGGGGTGTTCAGACACTGAAACATTAGGGGTGTCTTTTAGCGGTCTGTAAATCCGGCTGCACGAATTGGCTACAATTTGCACCTGTGCAGAGAACCGCTTTCCGATGCTATGGCCTTTACACCTGTTGCTATGGCAACGGGCGAACTTGCAAACACAAGTTCTGCGGCCCCTTCATGCACTAAAAAGTCCCTCCGCCCACCCAAAGCCGAGTAGGCATTGGGGGAACAATACGGGCAGGAAATACGGCGTGGCATATGCTGGTGACTGAAGCAGAAAATTACAGCATATACCTCCTCCCCCTGTGCCCATTCTACAGAGAGCCCACTGCCCAGGGCTTTCTTAGTTCAGAAGAGGAGCGTCCGAGAGGTCTATGCAGCGGCAAACGGGGCACGAGTTCTCGTTGTGTTCGGCCCCGATGTCACAACCACAGCGCTTGCTAACGTACATGCTTGTTTCATCCACCGCTGTCATGTCACAAGGGGTGATGGTGCGAACTTTGCGGCCTCCGTGAGCAGCTCCGTGGTCGGGTTCTGTTACCTTGTGCATTGGGCGGGAGGTTTCCATAGTGGCCTCGCTGGCAATATCTTCGGCTGCAGGCTGCTTTTCCTTTTCGCCACTCTGCAGATCTTGTGGATGTTCCGCAGCCTGTTCAACAGCGGCTTCCTCTGCAGTTTGCGGCTCTCTAGCTTGTTCTTGGGCACTTCGCTGCTCTTCAAGGGCTCTCCTCGCCTCCTCCTCCTTCTGCCGACGCGCCTCCTCCTCGGCCTTGCGCGCTTCTTCAGCAGCAGCTGCTGCGGCTGCTGCTGCCTCCGCCTCTGCCTTTGCCTTTTCTTCTTCCTCCCGCGCTCTGGCTTCAGCTGCCTCCGCTTCAGCCCGGGCCGCCTCTGCCTTGGCTCGCTGCTCTGCTTCGCGAGCTGCAGCCTCGGCGGCAGCCTTTTCCTCTTCCTCCTTCCGCTTCTTCTCCTCCAACTCCTTGGGATCTGCCCTCTTGGGCTGTTTTGCCTTGTTCTTGCCGCAGGCGGCACCCATTTTCACAAGGGGAGGTGCGTCGGAATGCAGGGTGTTGCTCGGGTGCTCTTACGCCTGGAAGCCTAGAACAGCCAATGCAGTGTGAAGGGAGATGCAGTATAAGTTGAAGAAGTCACTNCTTACGCCTGGAAGCCTAGAACAGCCAATGCAGTGTGAAGGGAGATGCAGTATAAGTTGAAGAAGTCACTGGAGAATGCAAAAGATGCAACGAGAAGAGTGAATGGATGGTGTGCGGACGGAGTGCGAAGCAGTCGATGCAGCAGCCAGCGGCCTGTTGCGTACTGCAGCACAGTGAGCACTGAATAGTTGGCGTTATGGGGGAATCCAAATGAGAAGTGAGGAAACAATTCCTTCCACTTTAGATATTCCTGTTTTGAAATCAGAAGAACTGCTCGTAAACAGCAGCAAGCATCTCGAGTGCAGCAGGTCTCTCCCGATGCAGCAGCTCGCAGTGGTCAGGTTTGGCCGACGGCTGTTGTCGGCTGCGCTGCAGCCGGCGATCACCCGAGCGCACGCGCTGGGCAGGCAGGGCTTTCGCTCGCATAATTAAGGCATGAATAAGCCCAATATTTGCAAAAGATGCTTAGAGTAGAATCCCTTTGCTGCCAACACGCTGGTGTTCTCCTGGTTGAGTCGTGCTCCGCAGGTGCTCAAACTGCAGTCAGTGCCCGCGAGGCTGGTCTACCGAACAGCTCGCTCTGNAGTCGTGCTCCGCAGGTGCTCAAACTGCAGTCAGTGCCCGCGAGGCTGGTCTACCGAACAGCTCGCTCTGCTGGCAGTTTTGTGCCCGTTGCCTACCGTTAAGGTGCACACTCTACTTCTAAACTCTACATTCTATGTAATTTTCCTAAACTGACCAAAAATACCAAAGAAGAGTCCCTTATTCGTATCAGAACCACATCGTAGAAGAAGAATAGTAAAATATCACCTTGCGACTCCGTAAAGAGTCAGCGCCGCACAGCCAGCCCCGCAACCAGTGAGGCTGACGAGCACCCGTAGGCTCTGCACAAATTATATTAGTGTATTTCTAATAATATGCTTGCATCCTTTCAGCAGAGTAGGCCTCTAGAGGTATCGTGTGAGGTTCATCGTAGTGCGTGTGCAATGCAGCTGGACTCTGTTCAACTGCAAGAAGAACCAAGCAACTACGGTTTTTCCATGTCAATATTTAATGCTTCAAAATTCATTAGTATCTTTCATTGAGGTTGTTATCTCACGGGGAGCTGGAACCTCTGGCGCAACTGAGCTAGCTGCAGCGGCAATCCTGCAAGCATGCGCCGGTAATTGTTGACTATTCCGTATAAAGCAGCCAGATTCTTACCCGGCAGTCAAATTTACAGTTTTTCATGCAAAAACCATAGGGAGCACTTGGATTGGCTCCAATGGATAAGGACTGATACTCCGCTCGTGGGCAGGCTGAGTGCAGTCGCCCGAAGATCCACACTAACATATATCCAGTGNCCTAAGTGCTTCCTCTCGAAATTGAGCAGATTAGGGTCTGCAGGCCCAGTCTATAATTCCCTTGGGGCGCATTGGATCCTACGCGACTGAGGTGTATAGTATATTGAGCTGCGGAAATTACATTCGGAATAGGTAGAATTTTTTTCGGTAGATGTTTTTCAGCAATTGGACGAGCTCCCATTTACAGGCAGAGCTGTGGCGTCTCCATAGAGTACCCTCTCTTCTCGCAGATCGAGAATGTACCAACCCCGACGGTGTTCACCTTCTTTGTCCATCACATTCTTAGTCTCTCCGATACCTTCTGTAGCCCTGGCGAACTGTTGCTGTTGTCTCCATCTTCTCATTGTTATTGAATTGTTCCCGCCGGCCTGTAACTTATCGGGAGGCCCAGCAGAGTTATTAGGCTTGCTGATCCCCGGGAGATCAACAGCCCCCTGCCGGGCTTCCCCCGAAGCATCGATGCAATTCCTCCTGCTAACTTGGTGAGGTCCCCCATGGGCGGGGTCAACGCTACCGAAGAGCCAACTCCGGAGCTGTTCGCGGGCTGCACTGAACTTCTGCTTTCCTCCGTTGTTCACTAGTGGGCTTCCCTCCACATGACTTCCGGTAGCCACTTGGCTGTATCCGCTCACGACACTATATCTGGGTTGGAACGAGATGAACGGACCCCTAAAGCACTTCAGAAAGGGAGCTTTCGTGTTACCAAGGGCGCCATAAGAGAGCCGCCCACAAGAGCCAGCCTTTTCCACCGTTTCTAATCTCGCTGGTACGGCTGTGCCAAGCTCTGATTCGTCTGCAACTTTGGCTCTCCCACTAAAGGCAATTCTGTTAAGTGGTGATCTGGAGTATCCATCGCCGTTAGCGTAGCTGTCGTTACCACCGTTGTTAGTAGTGCCGTGAGAGGGACGCTGTTTGACCACAGACGTGCTGCGGCTGGGTCCGCTGACAGAGCAACTCAGCTGCGGGGGTTGCGTAGCTGGAAAAGAGGCAGACGGAGTGATTCCTACCTCCCGCGGGACCGCCTGTGGTTCGGTTGTGCTTCCTTGCAAACCGCTCACTGCCCATCCCCCCTCCCCTCCCTTCCCTGCTTGGCGCAGGATGTAGTTGCAAACCGCCGAACCGTCTGAATTGTGCGTAGCAGAGGACCTGGATAAACTCTTCAAGTTCCCTCCCTATTGGCGATCCCTACTCCCTCCACAGGTTATCTGACACGTACGGCAGGCTGTGCTAATTTCCATGGATGCCCCATGCACTGCAATCTGTTTTCTGAATGCCCCATGCACTGGTATGCTGTTTTCTGCCTTACCTCCGGCGTCGCGTAGGTGTTCTACTCGAAAGGCCGCCTTGATATTTTTGCGTTCTATCGACTTCTNCAATGCCCCGACTGCCTTCACGGTCTCTATATTTCGAGATGGCTGCAGTAGAACATTGTGGATAGCACACTAAATAGAGGCTTTGGAGAGTGGAGGTAGTAGCAGATTCTTGTACCTTTTGACACCTCAAAGCTACTCTTCAGGCTAAGCAGCCACCGAAATATCTGATCAAGCAGTGATCCTTCATATCTCGACGATGTGCAGCACGCTGGCTTCAGCATGATGCCTTACGATCGCTGCGCCGAATCAAAACGAATTTGTCCCTTTCTTTCCACGCCTTTGCTAACTGAGCCGCAGCATCAAGCCAAAAATGCCACTGCAAAAACACATCGGGATCTCCGCAGAGAAGGTGCACTTCAAGAGGAAGCGAACTTGCACTGCTAGCCATATACGCTGCAATAGCAAGGACGATCAACACCATATTTCCTTCTGTAGTGATTCCAAAAAGCGAAGCAATATACAAAGTATAATTTCAGATTCCCTGCCTCATTCAGTACGTGTTGAGCCTCTTGCGAGTCAGAANGTTCTTGTTGTTATTGCAACGTCCTCGGGATATTACTCCACTGTAGCTACTTTGCAGTTATACTATGATGTTTAGTGTGCCTGAAATATACGTGAATCCCAGCACAAGTCAGGTCTGCTGGCGGTGCCAGGTGGCATTTTTATGGCAGCCTAAACCCCTTAGCTGTGGCAAGGGGAGCAATACGTACTGCCATGGAGGGTAGGAGGAATGCCAGAGCGCAATCTGTGGACAGTTGTGAGTGGACCAGAGCTGTCAACTGTCCTGCGCACAGCATGGGCCCTACCTAGTGACTCTACACAAGGTTGAGCAAGCATAAACACTGCAGAGCCCCTGATTCAAGAAGGGCAATCACGCAGCGCATATCGGTGGAGATATACTGTTGTGGTCTTCCAGTATCGCATCTACCCCTGGTTGTACACCTTCAGAGGCTTGACTTCGTCTTTCGTATCTACTCAAATAAGGAACAAACATTCGAGCTTCGGCATCCTATTTGGTTCAACAAGAAGAACTTCCAGCACACGGTACTGAAGCCCATAAAAGCGAATAGGCCGTCCTTAGAAACAGCCGAATTAAGCTTCGGACCCAACAGATGTGCACCGTAGTAGTAAAACAGGCGGTCACGTTCTTGCCTGTCTGCCTCCATTATGACGGCTAATTCAGGCGCTTCGCCACAGTGATACGCTTACTGTGGCCAGCTAGAAATCGGGTGTTCACCCACAGAAGCCTGTGTTTCCCCCAGGATGTTGTAGTATTCCAGAGCGTGTGCAGAATTACAAGAGCTGCCCAAAGTAGCAGCTCGGTGGCAAGCGTTATTCTGCTGTTGCGCTGTAAGGCTGTCTCTCCGAATGAAATTGAGGCCTCTGGACCAGACATCCTTGTCTCTAGAGTCTCTACAATGCAGCCTCAGAACAGCCTACAGCAGCACATGATGAATAACAACGCGCTCATATACCTCTAGTCCTGCGGTGCAAGCAAAATCAGTGAGGTACTCGTGAGTGTCGCAACACGTGCTGGACAGCTTATGCTCGAGTCAGCCCCTCTACAGCTGGTTTGCTTGCTTGGAACATGATTATTACCAATATTACCGGGAACTGATACTGGTACGTGCAAGATCCCTGCTTGCCTCTCTGCTTGAGTATGAGGGTGTGATTTCCTCTTATAGTTCGGCAGTGGCGCAGTCGAACTCTCGTTTTTCGATAGATATTTGAACTATTTGCCTAGCCCTAGAGAAGCAGTAAACCCGCACATAGAGGAAGACATATCTACCCGTGCCCTGTAGGCAACCGGCAAGTGTGCACTTCTGCAAGGTAACAAGTGCAACGACGGGATAAGGGAACTAAGGTAGCACCCTCCCTTCATTTCTTTAGTTCGCCCGAGTCTAAGTGTGGTGCAAGCATGCGCATGCGCTTTTTATGAATGGTACGAAGCGCAAGACGTATCCAGTCATTTGGTGGTGGCGAAGCAACCCTATGGAGGCCCC